GGGATAAGGGATAACAGAATAAGTGATATCCCTGTGGAAGTGTTTGATAATAATGGTGTACTATCGCAAGAAAAAGATATAGTTTTTGATAAATGGAAATTGTAATTTGTACAATACAGGTAATGATATAATTGTTGATAGTGAAAATGTTGATGTTAACTTGTCAATCAATCCTGATATTGATAATAGTGTTTTTATACAAGATTTTACCGGACAAGAAGTCAAATTAGCTGTACTTGACATTAAACGAAACAGGGCGGTTGGTGTTGATAAACTGCCTGGTGAAGCATTGAAAAATGAATTTGTAATCTCCTTTTTGCATAAATTATTTAACAAATGTTTTAAATCAGGATTTTTGCCAAAGATATGGAACAAAACTTTTATTAAACCAATTCCTAAGTCAACTTCTAGTGATCCAAAAGATCCTTTGTCTTGTCAGGGTATAGCAATAACACCAGTTATATATAAGATACATTGTACATTAATAAATAAAATAGATAAATAAAGAATCCGTAAAGAAAGCCCAACACGGCAAAATTGAAAATGTTGCAGGCTCGGTTTGATTGAGCCTATTCATGGACGGTACTGGAAAGTGCAAGTTACCATCCACGCCCCCTAGCACCGGCTTAAGCAGAATTCAACATTTAAACATGAAATGGTAGAATTTTGAATTTAGAAACATCAGCAGATGTGTTCATACGGCGGTTATCATGGAACCTTCAATGTGAAACTTCCGTGCCATTCCATGAAAAGCGGCGTATGGTCCCCAAGTAATAAAAAGACTAAATTAAATGCATGGTGCTTTGAAAAAGATATCATTTCCAAAGGTCAGAATGGGTTAAGACCAGGTCGGAGTACAGTAGATCACATTCAATCTTTAACAAGTATTATTGATACTAGAAAGAACCAACGTCTGACAACTTTCTGTGCCTTTATAGACTTTAAAAAGGCATTTGATTCAATAAAAAGAGAGCTTTTACACATTAAATTGTCTAAACTTGGGTTTCACAATCAACTTATAAATGCTGAAAAGTCAGTTTATCAAAATGTACTCTACTCTGTTAAACTGAACAATTTAAACACTGATTGGTTTTATGTGAACACCGGACTTAAACAGGGTTGTTCCTTGTCACCTTTACTATTCAACCTGTATATTAATGATTTGGCCATGAAATTGAAAGCCACATGCAGTGGGGTTGATATTGATGGTAAAAATCCTGTTATATGCCGATGATATTGTTCTTATAGCAGAAAGTGAAAATGATCTTCAAAGTATGTTAAATGTTCTTCATAATTGGTGTATTACAAACCGTATGAATGTTAACCCACTAAAATCTAACATTCTTCACTTTTGAAATCCATCTTTAACTTGTTCAGATTATGTTTTTAAAATAGGAGATACAACTTTAAACTATGTTACACAGTACAAATATCTCGGTCTTGTTTTGACCAAACACCTTGATTATTCAATTACAGCTAAAACTGTTGCTCAGGCTGCTCATAGAGCATTAGGAATGTTAATTTCTAAAGCTAGAGTTTTTGGAGTTATGCCTTATGAAGCATATACAAAAATGTACGAAGCTACTGTTGTTCCAGTTATCACATATGCATCGTCTGTTTGGGGCTGTGATACTTTCTCTTGTATTAATGCTGTGCAGAATAGAGCTGCACGCTACTTTTCGAATGTTGGAAGATATACTCCAAATGCAGCAGTCTGTGGAGATATCGGTTTGAAACCTTTAATATATTTTTGTTGGAAAACTGTTTTAGCAAATTGGAGTAGATTAAGTAATATGAATATAGGGAGGTTAAATAAACAAATATTTTTATGGGCAAGTGATAAGTCAGGTAACAGATGTAAGAATTGGAATTTTAAAGTCTGTACGTTGTTTAAGAAGTATAATATGGAACGATTTTGCAATATTGAAAATCCGATACAAAAACAAGAGTTGTTTAATATTATATTGCCTAAAGTACTGGAAGATTACATTCATAATTGGAACTGTACTGTTAATTGCGAAACCGGCCGAAATGGCTCAGGTAGAAAATTAAGATTATATAAAACATTCAAGAATAACTTTGAACCTGAAAATTATTGTAAGTTAATTTTGAACAGGTCACACAGGGGTGCCTTAGCTAAATTTCTCAGTGACACAGCTCCAATTGGTATAAAGTTAGGACGCTACAATGGTTTGCCAGTGGAACAACGATTGTGCTCCCACTGTCAAACTATTGTAGAGGATGAAAAGCATGTATTATTATATTGCCGTCTATATGATTCCATTCGTAACGACTTGATTCGAGAAGCACAAATGCTAAACGATGTTTTTGATGCCCTCTCAGACATTGATAAAGTAGGATATATTCTCTCAAATGCAGACATTGTATTTTTAACTGCCAAAACCTGTTTTAACATATTGAATAGAAGAAAACTAATTTTATACAACTGTCATTATTTAAAATAATTTTTATGTGTTCTTAGATATACATGTACTATCTAGAAAAATACTTTTGCTAAAAACCTTCTTAACCGGATTTTGATTAAATTTAACCACAACATAATTTCTATATAGAATTTTTGGAGGTACTTTGCTACCTCAATATCTGAAATTACATCAGTAGATTCATTTTATCATATGTTCTTCACAACTCTGATTTAAATTAGCAAGGGTATTTTAGATTTTTAGAATTTTACATGTAAATAGTAAGTCAACCTTTAGTCTCTTGTAAATCTTATAGATTGGCAATGTGCATTTATTTTGTATTTTATATGTATTTTAACTGTGTACATTGATGAGACTGTAATAAACTAATAAATAAAATAAATAAAATATATTTATATAACATATAATAAATAGTTCTAGAACAGACTTTTGTTATTCATTGTTATCTGAATGATCATATTAAATCACTAAGAACTTTACAAACAATTTAAATGCAATATTTTGTAAAGATATTCAAATGATATAAATTGATTTTTTTTTATTTTAAAAGGTCGACCTTTGGAGACGTGATACTACTACAGTTTCATTCTGCAGTATGACGGAATTGCCCAAATATGCACGATTGCAACGGAAACCTAGACTGGTTTTCCTTTCCTTCATACATATGTAAGCAGGAAACCACCTTACCGGAACAACTTTTCCAAAAACAAACGGCTTGCGGCTGCCGCATGCCAATGAATGAAATTATGCACAATTTCTCTATCAATTCCATCATATGACCATTTGAACTCTCTAGTAATTATCAACATTTTTGGAGTGAGTTGTAAGTAGTGTATCGACAGTGAAAGACGGAATCCGGGTTTTACTGCCATGTTTTTATTTGAAATTAAAAATATAAATAAAATGGTCTTCCGAGATAAAATACTTATGAAATGGACAGTAATTTTGGTTAGAAATCTTAAAGTAGAGTCGCAACGACAATATTATTCATGACAAAGGCAATGCCACGCCATACATCCACAAAATATCGTTGGTATTATGCGTTACTTAGGAACCGCGTTTATTATAAAAAAAATAATTTTGAGATTGTTCCCTTATATAACCTGACCTCGATTCTTAGTCCCCGCTGCAAATGTCTAGAATAAAGAGAGCGAGTGTAATGAAAGACAATTATTTCGTCATTGTTGCCAATAATTGTCAAATTATCATAAAATAACAGATCCGCTTGTTCATCAAGAATAAAATTACTAACTTGCACCGTTTTCTTTATAAAATAGTGTATTGGTGCTGGATATTAATGATCAAAAGGAGGGGGGTTTATTTATGATAATTTTGCCATTCTTTCAAGGCAAATGTGCCTGTGATTGTTACGTATTTATTTTTTTATTTATCGGTTACGACAATCAATCTATCACAGGTCGGCATCATGTACGTACATGTCATATAATTTATCAACAGCAGCATTTGTCCACCGATTTTGTGTTATATATATTTTAAGGATAAATGTGAATAATTTTCCAGCTTCTATACCTGGAGTCATATTTATAACCATATTTATAAATTTAGAATTGTCCTAGAAGGAATTTTGATAAGCTAACATTATCTATTGATAAAAAAAGTTAACTATGCACTTCTTTTTATTTATTTTATTTGCTTTGGAATTAAAAACGAAACTAGGCAAATGATATTATCGGAAAATATTGTACACCGGCCTAAGTCGTTGGTAAATACGTTTTTTGAAGAACAGAAACTTGAACGATTATTGGTAAAAAATGCTGATTCATTAATTATGTTCATTGTATGTAACGCGTTATGGCTGGCACAAGTAACATTTTTTCTATTCTTACAAACATTCCTTAAAACGCTAAAGGACCTCTAATCCTGCTGAATTAACAATATTAACAGACATGCCAGGCACGATCCAGGATTATTACAAAAGGGAGTAACAAATGCTGGGCATTTTATTAGTTTCCAGAGGTGATAATCACTATAAAAAATTACTTAATAACAAAACCCTTAATTAACTCTATACTATTGTTTCTAAAATAAAATAGCCTAGCCCTCCGACACCGTAATCCGCTGCGGATCCCCGAATGTATTAAGTGTGTTGTTATATCCTCAAATAGAACAAGTATCATTAAAGAGGATATTTGGACGGCATTTAATACTTTTTGATAGTTGCAAGTTGTAGATTATTTTGTGCTATATATGAATCACGATTCAACCAATGTCATTGAAATTGTTATGTCTGAGGGATAGAAAGTGATTTTACAGGTACATAGAAATATATGCACCGTGCTGTTAACAAGTGACTAAAATTTTTACTTGTTTAAGGTAAATCTGTTTTGAACAAATGTTTAAAAAAATAACTTATGCATTTAAACTGCGTAAAATATTTACAAGTTAGGGCCTGTCAATAAGTTTTCCGATATCAAAAGATTTAAGTGCTTGTGGCTTACAATACTGACAGTGAAATAGTCTCGTTTTAGATTCTACGCGCGTTAAGTGTTTAAACAAGTTCATTCTTCGCTATAAAAACGAAGCAAGTTGTGATAATATTGCATAGCGACAACAGTCTGGAAAGCTAACTAGCAATTCTTGCGGTTTGATTTTAGTGGTATATTTTGAAATCTTAACAATAAAATGACTTCAAAAAAAGATTTTCGTATTTTAAAACTCTACGCCTCTTTGGAATATATAAACGATAATGATGATATGGAGAGAAAAAAGCTTGAAGAAATTAAATCTAATTTTACATCGTTCTTTAAAGATCTAAATAAAACAGGAAAAAAAGAAAACAAACTATTGAAAATAGTTAAGAGTAAAACCTTTCTCCAAAAAGCAGAAATAAAGGTAGAAGATTTTGAGGATATCACAGAAAACAAGAGGATAAATGGGGAGTCGCTGTTATTTCGTGCAATGTCAGTCAAAAAGGGAAGTGGTTTGCGAAAAGACACCCTTGACGAAATTATTAAATTATTGATTGAGAATATTCCGGATCTCATCACTTTGGAACAGTTTCATGAATCCAATGAGAGTACAGGAGTTACCCCCATTCATCTTGCCGTAGTGCAAGAGAATCCAGAGCTCCTATATTTAATGGCAAAAAGTATAGAAAATAGTTTTAAAGGGGTAATAAAAAACGCAACCGGTGAAAAATTTCAAGGCACAGTAATGATGGCTGGATCTCTACTTGGCATTGCTGCTTTGAAATGCAATGAGAAAATATTCAGCATAATTCTTGAGAAGTTTGATCATGAGATGGATGTTACAAATGAAAAAGGTGATAATATTATCCATTCTCTAATAAAGTATGCTTGTTTTCAACCTGATAAACTAGACTCAGTACTCAACATGTTAAGATACATCATATCTTGCAAATTTCTTCCAAATGAATCGGGAAAACAGAAAAACAAAATCACGAATGAATGCGGATTTTATGTGGAAAATGACAGCAAGTACAGGAAGCAAGTTGGAAAACTATTGATGATGAAAAATAGGGAAAAGCTTACACCACTGCAACTGGCAACTAAACGGCAGCAGTTCAAAATATTTGAAATTATACTGAACCATGAGGTATGTTTATTTTTATTTTTTAAACACCTTAAATAATAAAATGAACCTAAATGCGTCTTTTATATAAAATGCAAACAAGACCATATTTTTCAATTATTTCCGGTGCTTTTATGGTGACTCTCATTACTCAGAATCTAGCTAGGGAGTTTTAATCAAGGTGAAGTGGAAGAAATGATTTAGGAATGTATTTAATAAAAATACATCAAAATGATTGTGAATCAGGTGAAATATGTTTTAACTGTGCAGCAAAACTCATTTTATATATAAAAAAAGCTTATTACTACGGGTGTTCAAATACGAATGGAACTAGGCCAACATCTCGCTTTCAACCACGTTTTGCACAAACTATGTACATTAGCTCATAGGTTGCTGTGTAAGATCTCAATTTAAACAATACATGTTTAAATCAGTTCAGTCTAGCTTTAACAATATCTATCTACTCCAAAGCTGAAATGGTTGGGAAAAGGTCTCTTGTCACTGACCAAGTAAGGTCCTATATCAAGAACCACTGTGTTCCTGGTATACAGGCGAAAAATATATTTTATGAAATATGTCTTGTATTGTATGGGAACAATGCACTATTCTTTTATCATCTGTCAAACGGTGGTGTAAGAAATTTAAAAGTGGTGTTGATTCAGTAAATATGCACCTATTTAACGTCGTCCGAAAGCCGCAACTTCGCCAAAAATGGTTGAAAAAGATTTTATTGCTACTGATGCAAGATTTCCAACAAGGTATATAACTAAATGTAATGGCATCTCTGTAGCAGCCGCTCATACAATTCTCAGACATGATTTGAAAATGAAAAGGATATGTGTCAGATGGATATGAATACTCCGTCTTCTTACAAAAGAGAAAACACTTGCTCGGGTAAGAATCTCCAAACAAATAGTTTCCTAAGTACAACATTCAATTGATCTTTCGCAAATAACATCATAGGCGATGAAACGTGGGTTCACTTTTATGAGGCACAGCGAAATAAACATAGCAAAATATGGGCAACCAAAGGAAGTCAAGACCTTGCATAGCACCCTAAACAAGGTTATATTTATAATTTTCTTTACCAATCAAGGTCCTGTTATTCAAATTCCTGTGCCAACGGTTAAATCTGTGAATGCCAAGTTTTACAAAGGCAAAGTCTTTAATAAATTAACAAGATATTTCAAAAACCGTCGACCAGCAACTGGTCTCCGTGTTGACCGGTTGTTGCATGACAATGTCTCGTCACACAAAACGGACATTGTACGAGAATATCTGTAGTTAAGAAGCTTGCTTAGCTTCCTCATACTCCTAATTCGACAGAGCTTGCCCCTTTTGACTTTTTCCTATTTCCGGGACTCAAAAACACACCTTGCTGGAAGAAAATATCAAACGCGAAAAAGCTCGGTCTGGCTGTTTTCCAGTGTCTGAACATCTAACCCCGAAATGATTATAAAAAGGCATTTAAAATTGAAATAAAAGCCTTAAACTTTGCATATCACATGGTTGTGAGTATTTGGAAGGATTGAGATGATTATTTTGGAATTGTTTGTAAAGTACTTCTGAAAATTAACCCAGTTGCATTTATATTTGAACACCCCTCGTAATATGGATTGAGCAAAATATGTAAAAAAACATATAATTTTGATCTTCGCTCAATGTAAAAGCATAACTTGTTGTCAATCAATCACTTGAATTGAAAAAGTTATTCGTTCAATATTACTTTAACATCTCTCCATAATCTTTCAAAACAATCTCGTAAACACGTATGATATAAAGAGATAAATTGTATTTATAATAATCAGATTTTCCGTCCTATTGACAGGTATACTTATCACAAGAAACAAATTGTGGTATTTTTCAAAGAAACCAATACGACATCACTGAAATAGAAACACTTGCAATGAAACGTGACGTCAAAGGAGAAGATAATGAGGACATCAAGGCCGAGCATCACGAATCTGTATTGGAATTTGTTCTTCATCAACAAACAACTAACGCTTTTCTGTTTTCAAACGTCACTCCTTTGAAAGAAATTATCAAAGAAAAATGGAATTACTACAAACATTGGCTTCATGGAAGCTTTATAGTTTATTTGGCTTTCATGGTTCTTCTGTCTATTTCTGCTGTTCACAGGTCACATTTAAAAGAAACAGTGAACAAAAATGATACAGCTAAGTATTTGAACAATGTAACGAAGAATGTCTTTGTTACTTTTGTTTCAGTTCTTGGTCTCTTTTTTGCTGCTGTAACAATAGTTGTCGTCATAATTATAAAAACTTTTTACGCTAACCGTTTTAGTTCAAAAACGTCTACAAAGTTTTGGAGAAGATTAAGGATGCATTTAAGTTTGCCATATTCAAATTTCATGTTCCGGGTGTACTTTTGTATTCTTAGTGGTCTTTTGGCGGCTGATTTTCTTTTTGCGGCACTTGATGCTCATGAAATTCTACCTGGTTATGAAAATTATTGCTTGATCTTTGCAGTTATTATTGGTTGGTATCTTGTTTTATTTTTTCTTCAGACATTTAAGAAGATCAGTTTTTATACTGTTCTTGTTCAGAGAGTTATAACAGATATGTTAAAAATGGCTTGTATTATGGTCATATTTCTCATAGCATTTTCCATTGCAATGTACATGATAATGCAAGGAGCTGATACCGATCAGGACGATTTTGATGATTTAGGAAAAACAATTGTTAAAATGATAACAATAATGCTTGGTATCGGAGATTTAGATATACTTTTTCAAGCAAGGAAACCCATATTAGCTGTGCTGGTATTTTTGCTATTTGTTCTTCTTACAACCATTCTTCTATTAAATGCACTTATTGCAATGATGTCCAATACTTGTACAGATTTGATGAGCAATCAAACTGGTTATTCAGCCTCAAAAATGCATTATCGTCTCCAAAAGTTGGCTATGATTGTGTTTCTTGAGGGTTTTTTTCACGATAAATTACTTAAACGGGTCGGTGATACCAAAACTGTCAAAAGGTATGACAATGAGGTAAAACAATATAAGATGAAAGATCGTTCATTCTGGACACAAAAAATTGTAAAGGAAGAATTAGAAGCGGACATTGAACCTTCGGACGAGTATTTGCAACATAGAGATAGGACAGATATTTTAAAGAACGAACTGATCAAAACGATTAAACAGAGACAAAGCAAACTACCAAAAGTAAAGATACCTAAAATTCCGAAACATAAAGTTTCAGATACATCAGCTTTTCCTTCGGAATTCCAGACAGTACAAAAACGCCTTGACATCAAAGATTATGAGCAAAGACAATGTGAACGATGTATGGATGAAAGAGTGACATGTTTGCAGTCACAAGAAATTAAAGAAGTCACAGAATTTATTTAACATTTTGTTAGTAGATACAAATTAAGATTATACTCGAGATAACCTATGGCCTATTACGCGTGTTACACTTACATTTTACATTAGAACCTAAAGTTCGCTCTATATAGTTACCCATTTGTTTTGAAAATAATACATGTACTCGTAACTGATTGATAGTGCAAAGATTTAATCATTCCAAAAACGATTGTAATGAAATTCGAAGAAGTGTTGTATGTGTACATAATTATATATTATAATTTTGAAGCATGCTTAAAGCTTTATATTTTTAATCATTTTAATGCTAGGCATTCTTTTGTTTTCAAAGTAACGTTTCAAAAAAACTGATGTTTAAAAAAAATCTTAATGCATAATATTTATTTTATACTATATAATTTTTAAACTGTAGCCCCTTGTACTACACCTGCATCGTAAAATTAATTTTATTTATCTGTAATAATTTGAAAACATTTTATCAAGATTTATGTATATAGCATATGAACCTTTTTTTATTTTTTCAAAGATCAGTACGTTTAAATTTAATGATTTTTAACTGACAACAATACTTTGATTTAATCTAAAGTATTATTGTTATTGATATCAAACATGTGCACATAGACAGTCTTACAAAAATACATAAAGTTGTCTTTTAGAACATTATCTAGAGCCTTGAGTGAAATAAAACTGTTTTCTTTCGGAAGCCTGGCGTTCAAGTGCTAAATACATGTATACAAATACTAGTGTTATATTTTTATCTCACGTGTAACGAGATCCTTAACAACGACGTCTATAGTAAACACAATTAACCAGGTGCAAAATATGTGTCTTGAAAGCATTTTAAATGTTGAACCATGTAACAAAAAAGACAGGTTAAGGTGCCTTCTTTAATAAAATTAAGAAGTCTTACTTGCTGATTCTGTTGTAAAAATCACGTAGTGTAGTTATTTTACATAAACAGTTGTATAATATAATTTAAATTATTTGATCGTTGCCGCGCTAAAAACTTTACATGGGTTTGTCTACCTTTCAATTTGTAAATATTAGATATCTACAGCATGCACATGTGTATACATTTTACTATTGTAATATTATGTATGCATAGTACTTGATAGTTTTTTAGATTTTTTAACCGGACAAAACTGAAATATTTGAGTGAAAATTTTCTTTTCTTTGTTAAGCTGTCATAAATCCTTACCATGCTATGTAACGTAATATATTGATTTGTCCGGCTTTCAATTGGGACAAATCATCCCTTACTTTTAAGGAAAGGTTCTGAGAATAGCTGATAATACAGATCATGATCAGAAGGCACAGATGTGCCGGATATTCTTTGTCTGATCTGGTCGAATGGATAGAACCTGGTGCTAAGGTGAATGTAAATATTTCAATAAATACGTTTTGATTATACTTCTTCATTGTGTATGATATTATACTCCTCTTTTCTGTTAAAGTATTACAGGAGATATTCATTCTCGAAGAATACATGTATTTTAGTTGTCTGTAGACAGCAAATTAAAGTAAAGGTACTCGAAAAGTATTGTACAAAAAATCAGTTGATATTACTTGCAATTAAATTCTTCTACACCTATCAAAAATGTTTGCATTCTTTTGTTGTTGCTGAGAACGGTTGACAATGGTCTATAACTCTAAAAATCTATACCCGTCGAATGATAGAAATTATTTGACTGAAATTGCTTAATCATATATGATTATTTATGACTCACAAAAAATAAAGGTGCCAAGAAAACGGACCTCGTTTTAAAATATACTGACATTAACACATTACTGTCAAAATATTGAATAACATTTGGCAAAAATGGCTATTCGATTTTTATTTCTTATCTCAACATAAGAATTACAATCTTGTGATTCGGGTGTTTTGAAAGCAATATATCAAATTCATTCAATTCACTTAAACAAGATTCTAGGAAAAAACATAACTTTGTGTATTTGAATAGCAAATATGATTAACTTGCTAATGGTGATTATGAGACTTTTTATCATCATGTGTCAATTAATTAATGATTTAACAATTATTTTCTTGGGAACACTTTTAAGATTCTAGGCTATAATGTAAAATATATTTAACATTTACATATAGTTATTGGCATATAGCATTGACTTTTTTACATATCTTCAATAGTTTAATTACTACGATGAAACATAAAAAGAGCAATGATTACAAAACAATACAGAAATAAGGAATAATGGATCATAGAAAATGTATTTGTTTCTTTTATAAGATTTATAAATCTATAAAGTTTCAAGGTGATATATTTAATACTTCTTCAGTTTTCAGTTGATATATCCAATAATTTTAGGTATGCCCTGCACATAATTAAAGAATGTAAAATTGCAAAGGGAAACATCTCCAAAACTACACCCTTGAGATATAAAGTTCTTATGCACTGCACCTTATCATAAATATTGTACATTTCAAAACAAAAGTAACAAGGTGTCCTAAATCATACAGTTAACTGTCAATTTCAAAGCAAGTTTATTGCCATTGAAAACATAAAGAAACTTAAAGTAAACTTGTATAAGAATAGACAAAATTGTAAAAAGCGACTGACATTAATTTTATGCTCTAACTAAATAATTATGAATCATGCACTGTACTAAGTAAAATTATTTCGCATTTTGTTTTGAAAAAAAAACAAAGTAAAGATCTTTCAATTTTCCGTTCTTTCAAAAATGTATTTACAAAAAAATCAGGTCAGGTTAATTACGTGTTTTAGTAATGAAAATAAAAAAATCCTAGTAAAGAAGTACAGTACCGAAGAATCATGTTTTGAAAAAGTTATTGCCCTTAGTAATATTTCATATTCGGTCATAAAACGCAAGAAAGATGGAAAAATCAACACGAAACTGTATTATATCATATAAGTTGCATATGCAATCAAGTACATTTAACGACTTTTGACTGTTGTGACCACCTATAATCCCACCCCATTAATTTTCATTAAATGTATTTAGCGACTTTTTCTCAATGCGACCCGCGACTTACTCATTAATCAGTTTAATATGGTTTTCTATCCTTTCATCGAGCGACCACTTTTACCTGTCAAGTGTTTGTTTTAATAGAACACCGCCACGTGCGACCACATGTGTCAGCAATCAAAACCAAAAGCATATGTGAAAACCTTTAATTCCCAAAACCGGTAGCGTAACGTTTTTGCAAATGCACAATCTGCATATGCAAAGTTTATTAACAGTTCCGAATAAGTTAAAGGCTACATATATTTAGATTAATCAAATAATATAAAAGAAGCTTTTTACAAATACACGCACGTCACACTATTTTCTCTTCACAAAATTAATAAACATTGATGAGATTGGTATATGTAAAAGTTACATAAATTATGATTTTCATAATTTTACGTTATGAACTATATCATGGTACTTAAACGTCGTGGTTGAATGATATTGTAAACTATATAGCTGAAAAAATAACGCAATAAGTAACATGCCAATCTGTTTGACACATACCGCCTTACCAGTCCACATAAACTGTACCCATTGTGTAAGCGAGCATTTTATGTGCGTGGTCGCCTAATACAAGTTTGACTGATATCAACATGAAACTTTATTAAAGGGTATATCTTATCAAGTTATTGTTGAGTTAGCTTTTCGCTATATATAAACCATGTTTTGCCGATAAAATATCATGGTCTCTATGATAGAAAGTGATGATTCAGCTATACTAACAAGCCTTGAACGTTCTGTTTACAAAAAACATTGATCGTTTGTGGTTCTTTTTTATCCCTGCAAAACTGATTAAAATTGAACAAATGTTTAAATATATTGCCATATGTACATTCAATGTTAAATAAGTGGACAAGTTGGAGCGGGTCAATAACGTCTCTCCCGATATCAACGGTAAGGAATATAGTACTCTTTAGGTTCTATGGGAATTGAAAATTTTCAGTATTATTTTACAAGGCATATTTTTTAATTCTTAAAAATGAGAGAAAACCAACGCAGAATTGGTCTTAATATTTACACCAAATAAACAATGAATTAACGAATTCAAATGCATCCTTAAGTTATCTACATGGGAGGTATCATGAAACATACTAAATTTGTATGACATTAAGCAAAAACAGTACATTCGTTTTGTTGAGATAAATGCTTAAAAGGGAAATAAGATCCTTCACTACAACGTACTTTGGTTGCGGGCGTGGGGATCGAAGGCTGTTGTACTTTAGGTGTGTGTGCATGCGTGCGTGCGTGCGAGCGTGAGTGCCTTGGTGCGTGCGTGTATGTGTGTGGTTTTAATAAAGTTAAACGAACTATCGAAGTTTAAATTTTGAAGTTTTATTGACACCGTAGGGAACGTGTTACAGTATCGCGTTTTCCAGTTACAGTATAAAATTTTAAAGATGGAGGTTTATTTGTTGGGAGGACAGGTAGGTGATTTTTATTCCGGTCCATACTACAAGTAGTTTAGTTTCTAAAAGATGTTTTTGTGCTTTGCTTGTAAGGAACAGAATGCGGTATCTAGTCATATATTTCTTCAGACCCTGCGCCGCAGATTTATCGTTATATTGTCTCATAAATATGCAGATTTGACAGTTTGAAAATTTGAATCGAGAGACCAACGTATTTTTCTCCAATTTCGACATTATTTATGCATGCCTAGAAAAAGTAAATCTGCAAAACGTTAGTCCTTCATGTTAGGTAACGTTTATAAAAGTAAATGACCAGTTGACCCTATTTCCTGTTCGTTAAATGCGTTTGAAAAAATAAAGAATGTTACAGTATAGAGCGAGTTGATTTGTGCAGGGTTACAGCATAGACCTAGCGATTTGTATCCAATTTTGTAACAGTTTATACCCAGATTTCGGTTACAGTTTAGACTTCGATATTTTCTATATATACTAGTTAAAATGTATGAATGTTACATAGACTCTTTAATCTCTGTGAGCTTATTGGCCCGATGGTTATTCGTCCGTCTGCCGTACATATGTAATGTGTGTGCAATCTCATCCACTCGGTAACTACTTGACTAAATATGATGAAATTTACATGACTTTCTACCAATTAAGTTGTTCAGATGGTTTCGGTTGCAATCGGGGATACGAAAACCCAAAACATAGATTTTGAAAAAAGGCAATGTTTAAAGACCCTTTTCATCTCGAAGCATTCAAATCAAATCATGATCATGGCGTCATTTCGAATGCTTCTTTGTTGAAGTTACGATTATTTTGTCATAATTAAATTAAAAGTCGTTTTTTTATATTTCAGACATCCTGTATAGCAGTTTTCATGTTTCTGAAAAAGAAAATAATATTGAAAGTTATAGAGTATAAATTAAGGTCAGACAATTACAATATCTTCTCTATTGAGCCTGATGGAGGTACATAATAGTGGCAGAGTCGGGATAAGGCCGTCGACTTCAAATCATCTTTCATTTACTGCTGTAGTTGAAATCCAATCATTGGGATTCTGTTTTTCTCTATTTAATTGTCACATCCGTGCTATTTGTGCCGTGTGGCGGCTGTACAAAGTCTCCCCGTACATTTAATTAATGATGTTATATTTTCGTTCCTTGAAGATCGTTCAGCACGACATGCACTTTCAAGTACCGTCCATGAACAGGCTCAATCAAACCGAGCCTGCAACATTTTCAATTTTGGCGTGTTGGACTTTCTTTAGGGATTCTGTTTTTCCCTATTTTTTGGATTCTTTGTTTGTGAGAAATCTATCAAGCTAATTTACGGAAGGTCAGTGGTACTAGTCAGGTGCCCGCTCGTGTCTGAAATGTTTCACAAAGGGTATCTGGGGTCTTTCTTTACACTAAAGCAGAAATGTTTTCACATGACCTCAGTGTCGTTGAAACTTAAAATCCAAGAAAACCCTTTTAAATACTTACAAAATATATTATGGTAGATGGAAATTCCAACTTAAAATAAAATTTAAGGTTGCAGTATTGCTCACTTAAATACTGTTTAATCATTCTTAGGGTATTGCCTGCTTGTTAATTGTGTCTTTTGACAGCTTATTTATGGTATGCAGGATTCATAACCTCCGATCCCCTCTCAAAATTTCATTTTGTTTAGCTTCACACATTGTATTCTCGTTTAGGGCACACTTTTTTAACCTGGGGGTAATATACCGCTTTTCATAGAATGGCAATAACGTGAAGGTTCCGTGAAAACCGCCATATGAACACATCCACAGATGTTAAAAAAATATGAAGTGTACCAGTTCATGTTTAATGTGAATTCTGCTGAAGCCGGTGCTAGGAGGCGTGGACGGTAGCTTGCAGTTACCACTACCGTCCATGAACAGGTTTAATCAAACTGAGCCTGCAACATTTTCATGTTTTCCGTGTTGGACTTCTGTTAAGGATTCCTTTTTTCTCTATTTTATTACTAATAGGTATTTTATAATGTGTAATGAAATCAAGCAATAATCTTTCTTCTCTCAATACAATTCGATAAAAGTTACTGTTGTTGTCGTGAAAACAGTCCTTACTTGGGACATTATACTTATTCTGCAAAAAGTCTCAATTTGAAACTTAAAGTAAGAAAAACAGCAAACTATAACTTTTCTGCTGAAGAAAAAAGTAATACAACCTTTCAAGAATGTATTAAATAGAAAGGTATGAGTTATTTCATAAAAATAATGGATACACGAACTTTGTTTGCAATTTGGCAAGTATCTAAACTGTAACCGAAATTTGGGTATAAACTGTAACAAAATTGGATCAAAAACGCTAGGTCTATGCTGTAACCCTTCAAAATTAATCTCACTCTATACTGTAACATTGTTTGTTTTTCAAACGCATTTACCAACAGGAAAATAGGTTCAACTGGTCATTTACATTTATAAATGTTTCTAAACACAAAGGACTAACGTTTTGTAGATTTACTTTATCTAGGCATGCATAAATAATGTCGAAATTGGAGAAAAATACGTTGGTCTCTCGATTCAAATTTTCAAACCGTCAAATCTGTACATTTATGAGACAATATATACAGAGATAAATCTGCGGTGCAGGGTCTGAAGAAATATATGACTAGATACCGGATTCTGTTCCTTACAAGCAAAGCACAAAAACATCTTTTAGAAACTAAACTACTAGTAGTATGGACCTGAATAAAAATCACCTACCTCTCTTCCCATAAATAATCCTACAAAAAAAATAATAACATCTTGAAAATTCTATACTGTAACTGGAAAACGCGATACTGTAACACGTTCCCTACGGTGATTCAGTTGATTACTTATCATAGGACAAGTCTACGCTCGTAAAGTTACTAAACAAGTACATTTGTTGCTGATAAGAAAATAAACAAGACATAATTGTGATATGCATATTGCAGAACGAAAGATTTTGAAAAGGAACGTTTACTTAGTAATTCTCGTTTATTGTTACAAACAATAAAATGCTTTCACGTCATTCAAAAAACGATTTGCGTATTTTAAAACTCTACGCCTCTTTGGAACGGATTGCTGAAAATGATGATACCGAGAGCAAAGAGCTTGAAGAAATGAAATCCAATTTTACATCATTCTTTGAATATCTAAAAAATAATACAAGAAAAAAAGAAATAATGTTGGATTTAATTAAGAATGAACACTTTCTCCAAAATACAGAAATAACAGGAAATGATTTGAGGGAGATCGGTATGAAAAACAAAACCGATTTTAAGTTAAATGGGAAGTCGCTGTTATTTCGTGCAATGTCAATCAGAAAGGGAAATGGTCTGCGAAAGGACATCCTTGACGAAATTATCGTACACTTGATTGAGAATTTTCCGGATCTCATCACATTGGAACAGTTTCATGAATCCAAGGAGAGTACAGGAGTTACCCCCATTCATCTTGCCGTAGTGCAAGAAGATACAGAACTTCTAAAGTCAATGGCAAAACATAGAAAAAATTGTGAAGAAAAAATAAAAAACGCAGACGGTGAAATATTTCAAGGTACAGTAATGATGGCTGGAACTCTACTTGGAATTGCTGCTTTAAAATGCAATGAGAAAATATTCAGAATTATTCTCGAGAACTTTGAACAGGAAATGGATGTTACTAATAAAAAGGGTGATAATATTATCCATTCTCTTATAAAATATGCTTGCATTCAACCAGATAAACTAGACTCAGTACTCAATATGCTAAGGTACATTATATGCTGCAAATTTATTCAAAATGAATCAGGAAAAGAAAAGAACGAATCCAGATTTAATGTGGAAAATGAAAGCAAGTACAGGAAGCAAGTTGGAAAACTATTGATGATGAAAAATAGGGAAAAACTTACACCATTGCAACTGGCAACTAAACGGGAGCAGTACAAAATATTTGATATTATAATAAACCATGAGGTAAGTTTAAGAAATCTTCTTAAATTACATAATAAACCTAAATGCGAGGCTTGTAATAAATATGTTATTCCAACGAGGCAAAACGTGTTGCTTTTATTTTCGATGTTTTTAGGAGATCTCCTATTTTTATGCCCCGAAGGGTGGCATGTTTAAACTGCACCGTCCGTCCATCTGTCCGTTCGTACGTCCCCACATACACGGCATTCGTGTCCGGATAGTAACTTTTTTCATGCATTGAGGTACTTGAAAATAACTTTGCACAAATGTCTATTACATCAAGACAATGTGTCGCTTCGGAGAATCTTGTCCCTACCTCAAATAAAAGGTTGAGGTCACAATTACAGTCTGAAGGTTCACATTCTTAAAATAAGAGTTTAAAGGAACACACATTCGTGTCTGGGTTGCAACTTTGTCATGGATTGAAGGATTTAAAAATAATTGGCATAAATGTCTACCACATCAAGACGACGTGTCGCCTATTAGACCCATGTCCCTACTTCCAAGGTCAAGGTCGCTCTTTTAGTTTAAATGCACTCGTTCTCAAAACTAGAGTTTAAACGAATATATTTGTGTCCGGATCGTCACTTTGACATGCATTGAAATATTTTTAAATATCTTGGCACAAATATCAACCACATCAAGACGACGTGTAGCGTTTAAGACCCATGCTCTATGTCAAATGTCAAGGACACACCTACAGTTTGAAGGTTACACTTTCTCACAAGTAGTATTAAAAGGTACATTAGTGTTTGGTCTGCAACTTTGTCATGCATATAAGGATTTTGAATAGCCTAGCATATATGTCTACCACATGAAGATGATGTGTCGCGTTCAAGACCCATGCCGCTACATCCAAGGTCAAGCTTGTAATTTTCACAAGAACACTATTAAGCAATTTGTTACCTTTATGATCTTTTCATTTCATAATACTTTCTGCAATACTTTACACACGGTTGAGGGATGCATTCGTCACTTTTGCATGACAGCTCTTGTTTCAGACTTGCCTATGTTTTAATCATGATGACAGCAAAATTCATTTCATTAAAAAACATAATATGAATCGAGCAAAATATATTGAAACGTGCAGTTCGGATCTTTGAACTAGGTTGAAATATTGCAGCTTTTCATTCAGTGACTGTTCATTATATTTCATTTTACATATTTTTTCTTTGGTATTTCCCTTCCTATTTACAGGTATACTTGTCACAGGAATCAAATGATGGTATAATTCAAAGAAACCAATACGACATCACAGAGATAGAAACACTTGCATTGGAAAGTGACGTCAAAGGAGAAGCTAATGAGGACATCAAGGACGAGCATCACGAATCCGTATTGGAATTTGTTCTTCATCACCAAACAGCTAACGCTTTTTTGTTTTCAAGCGTCACCCCTTTGAAAGAAATTATCAAAGAAAAATGGAATCACTACAAACATTGGTTTCATGGAAGCTTTATAATTTATATGGCTTTCATGGTTCTTCTGTCTATTTCTGCTGTTTTTAGGTCACATTTAAAAGAGGCAGTGCAAATAAATGACACAGCTAAGTATTTAAACCATGTAACAAAGAATGGCTTTGTCACTACTGTTTCAGGTATTGGTCTCATTTTTGCTTTAATAGTTATCGTCATAATCATAAAAACTTGGTGTGCTAATCGCTTTACCTCAAAAACGTCTACAAAGTATTGGGCAAGAATAAAGATGCATTTAAGGTTGCCATACTCAAACTTTATGTTTCGGGTATACTTTTGCATCTTTGCTTGTCTCTTGGTTGCAGACTTTATTTGTGCGACACTTGTTGCTTTTGAGAAAGCGTCTGATTATGAAAACTATTGTTTGATCTTTGCCATTATAATTGGTTGGTACCTTGTATTATTTTTTCTTCAGACATTTAAGCAGATAAGTTTTTATACTGTTCTTGTTCAGAGAGTTATAACAGATATGTTAAAAATGGCTTGTATTATGGTTATATTTCTCATAGCATTTTCTATTGCAATGTATATGATAATGCAAGGAGCTGATACGGAACAAGACGATTTTGATAATTTTGGAAAAACAATTGTTAAAATGATAACAATCATGCTTGGTATCGGAGAATTAGATATACTTTTTCAAGCAAGGAAACCAACATTAGCCGTGCTGGTATTTTTGCTATTTGTTCTTCTAACAACTATTCTTCTTCTAAATGCACTTATTGCAATGATGTCCAATACTTGCACAGATCTGATGAGCAATCATACTGGTTATTCAGCCTCAAAGATGCATTATCGTCTTCAAAAGTTGGCTATAATTGTGTTTCTTGAAAGTTTTCTTCACCTTAAATTTTGTAAACGGGTCGGCAGGATTAAAGAGGGGCGACTCTTATGGACACAAAAGTTTGTAAAGGAAGATGGAGAAACGGCCATTGAACCTTCAGACGAGCATTTGCAACAAAGAGATAGGACAGATATTTTGAAGAAGGAACTAATAGAAACGATTAAGCAGGGACAAGGCAGACTTACAAAAGTGAAGAGACCTAAAAATGCGAAACGTCAAGTTTCAGATATGCCAGCCTTTCCCTCGGAACTTCAGGCAGTACAAAAACGCCTTGACATCAAAGATTATGAGCAAAGACAATGTGAAAGATGTAAGGATGAAACAGTGACATGTTTGCAGTCACAAGATATAACAGAATTTATTTGACATTTTGTAAATCGATACAAATTTAAGATTATCCCCAAGATACTCTAGTAGGTCTACTGCGTGTGTTACACTTACAATGTACAATAGCTTTTTATACGTAACCATCGGTTTTGAGAATAGTAGTCGTAACTGATTGATGGTGCAAAGAGTGGATCGTTACAAAAAGACTGCAATGACTTTTGTACATTTGTAACGTCACTTTTGTACTTATTGTGTATAAATGAAGCATGAAAAGAACTTTACTTTTTAATTCTTTTGAACTTCATGAAGGCTTGTGTTTCAATGTAACATTTTAACAATAGATGTTTTAAAAAGATTATTTCGTGTAAGGTCTGCATATACTCAATGTGTAAACTGTAAACCAAATTGTTACTGTTGCACTGCATTATAATTATTGCATGTCATATGTAACACTACACTCATAATTTGTGTATATAACCCGCGAAACATTTCATTTAACGGTCTTTGAATGACAACTGAGCTAAGTATTATCATAAGTATTCATTGTCAAATATGTGCACATCAGGGCATTATCGAAAATTCAAACTTATTTGATCCTTAAACCCGGTTTTCTTACTCCTTTAGTTCTTTAGAGATGGGTTGAATTTAAGTAGCATAGTATAACATATTCGGCCATAACCTGAATACAACCTTCAAAAAGTCACCTCGCTTGCGAATACTTATATGTGTTTCTTAACTTTTTTCTTCTTAATCATTTTAAGGACCGCTTTTTACTCAACCAAATACGTGCCGTTTTAAAGTTGTATGAATCACCTGGGTTTAAGGATCAAATACGTTTGAATTTTCGATAATACCCCGATACCTTATCTAAGTTTTATGTTTACTGACCTTTAGTCAAGGACGTATACCATTATCAACAGACGCTTATATATGTTTGAAGTATTCATGTAAGAATTGCTATCTTGGGATTCAAGTGTAAAAAAGCACGTTTATGCTCAGGTGACTAAAATTTTAAAAGTTTTTATTTTTAGCCATGGTAGCAATCTTGATCAGCAAACTGGAACCATATAAGCAATGTTTACGTATAGAGGACCGTCAAACGATCATTTCTGTACTGTTTTGACAATATCGACTACACAGTTGTTTGAAGGATTTTCTGGGTTTAACTCTGGCAGTCATTTTGTTCAGCAGGTAGAAACCACTAGGGATTTTTATTTCAAATAAACTATATACAAGGATCATCAGAAACAGTTTCATCAAAATCTGAGATGTGGCTTAGAGATTTTTTCCTATTTTATCACTTGCAGCAATTTTATTCTGCACATCGGTACAATTAAGCAACTTTAGTAAAGGATTGCCCAATGATCATATCTATATAGTTTCATTGAAATCTATAGGGTGGTTAAGGACAAATTGTCAAATGACACTTTTTTCTATTTTAGCTCTAACGTTTAATGACACTTTTCTATTTTAGCTCTAACGTTTAAATTGTTCAGCAGACTAGAACATTTTGAGCAATTATTACAGACGACAATCCAAGGCCATTCCTGTTTAGATTAAAAAATCTACCCAAATGTTAAGGTGATGTCAATTAAATGTTTTAATATTTTAAGCTTTGGCCCCGTTGGCCTAATTGTTCAACAAACCGGAACAATTTTAACAATTTAATTAAAGAACTAAACAATCAATGTTTCATTAAAATCTTATTGGCGGTTAAGTATAAGATAACATTTAACTCTTTTTTTCTATTTTACGAGTTTTGGTGGTCATCTTGTTAAACAGACAAAAACCATTAGAGCAGTTTCATAAGGCCCATCTAAAGATCATTTCTATATAGTTTCATCAAAACTATCAAATAATTCAGGAGCTGCTGTTTAACAGTGTTTCTTTTTTTGTTTGTTTGTTTGGATTTTTACGGCACGTCAACACATAACTGGCCATATCGTGCCGAATGCAATACTAGGCTTTGTCGGACCGTATTTGGTACAAAAACGAATATGGTACAAATTTTTCATATCTCTTTCATCAAGTTCAACCCATGAAAATAAACATCATCATCATCGTACATCATCTTGTCTTATTGAGCATTATTTATCTCGTTCATCACTTTATTATTTCATCATCATATCACACCTATTGCTTTATTCATTCTGTTCATCTGAAATAGAACATCATCAAATGGTATCACATCATTAACTTAAATTTGTAACTCATCATTATCATCATGATATATATCATTCTCTCATCAATCAATTCGTTCTCTCAAATCGTCATGTTCATGGTTTCATCGTACATCATTATTCATTCATCATGATCATATTTCGGATCAAGTCATTAATTCCATATGAAACAAACTGTTGTGTCATCATCCATTAATATTGGCATCATTCATCATTTCGATCACAAATGGGCCGAGATCATGGCTAAGCCCATAATTAAAAAATTTTTCCCTCATTATAATTTTATATGGGGCTTAAACACGCTATCATAAAATTGACCTTAACAATACCCTTGGGTATTTATTATTAATTCATGATCATTACCTTTTAACCCCCATCATAATGGGTCGTCACATTAACCCCTTATCAATATCGTAAGGGACCTTTTAAGATACACAAAAATTACCCATTCAATATAAAACTTTAATTTATCTGTTTGGTCCATAAGATCACCATCATGATCACACAAACTCAATGTCTAAAAGGGTTTCTCAACACCATCATATTCATACTTTCTATCTACTGAAGACCAAATGTGATCAAATAAGGAATGTTTTGGTTTATGGTCATTACTGATGACCTAAAATTTGTAAGTTGCTACGCCCGCGTTTTTGACATCAATATCCATAACCCAAAAAATGCCTCAGCATTGTCAAATCCCTTGTCATCAAACATGTATCATTAATAATCATCATCGACCGGATAAACATTGTTTTCAAAACTAACATAATGACGTCTGTTATCAAACAGATATCATCTTCAACTAACATAATGACGTATCAACACAACAGTATCTGGTACAAACATAAATTACTATTGTACCGATAACATATATATCTAATAACGAGGTTTATTGCCCCGACAAGTTTTCCAAGACAAAGCCTCGGGCCGCGAACTACATTCTCTGAACTAACATTTACCTCACCAAAGTTTCATCTCTTGAACATAATAAACTGCGAAAATCCTCAAACTTTTAGAGTTACCTGAAGCAAGACGTCTCTAGTCAGAGTATATATCTTGAACTACTAAGCAGATCACACACCAGTTTAAATGTCTACTTGAAACACTGAAGGAAATGGCCTCTGAAACAGTACCAATCTAGAACTGACCCCCAATGAACAGCCCTTTCCAAATCTACGCGACGACTGAATAAAGCCCCAACAGCATTCACAACTGAAAATCCATAAAAGGGGTCACGTTACCTTTCCTCAGCAAACCGAACAAGCCCGATCGACAGATGATATGATGATGTTGCATGATGAGATGATATTTTACCAACTTACAAATGTATACCTACAACATATTTTTTAAAAAAATGTGTTCCCACATGGCCGCTTATTTTTTAAGAAATACATAATTATGTACCCAAACGAATTTTCTTTTTGATTTTTGATGACAAATGTTTAATAGAACACAACTTTCCCAAACCCTATTCAATAGCTGACCATATTCGGATTTCCAAACCCGATATGGATTTGTACCAATATTACCCGACTCAATAGAATACATTTAACCATTATTCGTTCTTCTACCAAAACATCGGCTCCAACAAAGGTTTTAAAATGTTATGTAATGTTTTGTAAATGACAATAAAAATGAGTCAATTAGATCCTAGACTACAAGTTTATCTCTTTCAAATAATCATGATGTTTTTTAATGGAATTGTATTAAAGAGTTTTTTGAGTGAGTTTACACGATAAAATCTATTACGGGCCTGTGAAAAATCATGACATTCAAGAAGAAAATGTTTGACAGTAAAATTTTCATTACAATCTACACAGAAAGGGGCATTGTCATTCGTGAGGAGATAAGAGTGGGTAATTTTAGTGTGTCCAATTCGGCGTCGAAGAAGAACTATTTCAACATGGCGGTTTGACAGAGATAGAGATGGTGACACATCAAGAGATGGGTTTATATCGTTAAGTTTATTCAGTTTTACTGCGCACCAACACAGAAAAGGTCATAAGGCACCGAAACTACATTTCTTCTATGGCTGTCACTTAGATAAATTAAGTACGAAAAATTTCAAAGGGCAATTATTTCTGCAAAAGACAGAAATGATTCTTTGGCTCACTGAGATGTAATTACATACGTAGCTTCTTAGCGTAATCGTTATAGTTTTATGCTCCAGTCACAAATTAACGGACGCCAAACGGATTTTAATCGTTTGGACTGTCGATGCCAATATATATCCCTCCAAACGGACAACGCCAAATCTATATTCCGGCCTCTGACGGTGGATAATGCGATCGAGTTAAAACCAACCTATAGTATTTTACTATTTGGTATAAGTGCTGAAAATTATACACACATCAAACTTATCCATACCAAAAATTTAAAACATGACGAGATTCGAACTCATAGATGTGAGTTGCCTACTCATGTAAAATTAGAGAGATTTCCCACTTGACAAGTCCTGGTAATGTGGCTATATCTTTACTATAATACCATTAAAGGAGCCTCAATAAGAATTTTTTTTCAATTCTTGCATAGATCAAGTAAACCACTTAAAAAAATCTGGAAAAAAAATACTATGAATTAAATTGAATATCGATTTTTCCCCGATATGTGTGAAAAGCGCTGCAACGATGATGATGTTGGGTCATTTTGCACAAATAAAATTATTTTCTGTAAACACAAGGCGAGGAAGTAATCTGCAAATATGCATGTAAGGGAACACCAATTGGTTCACTAATCTCGGAGAAAAACGTTCAGTTCCTTTATCTTAAAAAAAAACTTCAATGAAGTCCTTTACATAACACAATGGCTTCATAACACCTCTTTCATACATTTAGGGGATCAAATCAGCAGAACGCAAACAGCTGTTGTAACTTGAATCCCAATATTTATTCATGCGTTTATAAGCAATATATAAAATGCCATTTACAAACTCATTGCAAATTGTACATATAAATAGTGATCACATTAAATATCACAGACTATTTTGAATGTATAACATGTATAAAGCTGAATAAACATGAAACGGTAGCTTATCAAATGCGTCAGACACAAAAGAAAGAAAAATATCACGTAAATTGATCGGAATCTAATAGTCAAAACAGTCGACTGAATGCATGTCAGTCTGATTGATAAACGCGATGCCTTGTAATGTCAACGGTCTGTTCAGTAATTAGTTTGATAAATTTACAAATACCGGCGCGATACAATCGATATAATAGAAATTTATTTTTCATTTATGTACGATTGAATAAACTGATAGGGGAACGATTTAAACGTAGAAAAAATAAATAGATACGATCGAAGCGTAATATAAGACCAAGGTGACTGATAACATAGCAGCGTATTAACGAACAATCATTTCCATTCTCGTGTGCTCAAATACAAAAGATCTGACTGCATTCATTGAAAACGCAATTTACTTAATATGATAAAAATGAGCCGCGGCATGACAAAACCAACATAATGGCTTTGCGACCAGCATGGATCCAGACCAGCCTGCGCATCCGCGCAGTCTGATCAGGATCCATGCTGTTCGCTTACAGACCCTATAACAAGTAGGAAAACTGATAGCGAACAGCATGGATCCTGATCAGACTGCGCGCATGCGCAGGCTGGTCTGGATTCATGCTGGTCGCAAACCCATTATGTTGGTTTTGTCGTGACGCGGCTCAATAATGATAAAAATTACTTTGGTCTATACGTGTCACCAATCATGCAAACATTAGAAACTATAGCCTTGTATTAATTTTGCTTAGCAAGGAAAGAATGTTAGATTACACACATTTATTTCATTTGATCTGGGCCATAGTACCCATTTGTAAACGTTCGTTTGGATGGATTTTACACGTATTTAAACATGCAATCTTATATTATAACTAACATTTCATAATCAGTTTCTGCACAAGTGACCGACTACTTATCCTACATGGTTTCTGAATCGACGGCAAGACACATCT